ACGCACCTGTAACACCACCTCGCCCACCTACAGCTGCATTGCCAGGGGCAATCGGGGTGCTGGAGTGACTGGTCCCACCCCCACACACTGTGGAAAAGTTTTTCTACAACATAAGGTGGTCCTCAGAGCCCCGAGTCATCTTGGTGGTGATTAGTGACCACAAACCTGCACCACAGCCACTCAGGAGCAGCTTTCAGGAATTTGTGAGCATGAGGTGCAGTCTGGCTGTAGTGCCCTTGGGATACCATACAAAGGGGTTACAGGCCAGGTATTGACATAAGACCTGAATTTGCATTAATGTCTTAAAACCATCAATCACGTCTCATAACTCACTGGAACTGCATCCCGTCCAGCTAGTGCCACATTGCCGAGAGCACCTTCAACACCAGGTCAAATAGCCAGACACATGCTCCTAAAGAGCCTCTTTCAGTAGTTGGGCCTTACCAGCATCTGACAGGTGGCAACAGGCCTAGCAGGCACTGGGCCTTATGCTAAACTGCCTCAAGACTAATACTGGGGGCAACCAGCTTCAGTTCACAGAGAGACCATCCCCACATGACCCCAGGTCCAGCACAGGAAGCAGCCAACCACACACAGCCTTGAGGCACCTACCAGGTAGCTACGAGCTGGTAACTGACAGGGCTGAAACAGCTGTGAGTGGGAGCCCCACCCAAGAGACAACAGAACCAATATACCCAGATGCCAGTGTTAGACCAAGCCAGAGTACTACCTGGTTGAAACTACAAGGGGCACTTTCAAAGGAAATTTCCACAGGCGCAGCAGCCCACAGTGGCCAAGCCTCTTCTGAGGGGTCAAACTCCATACAGCAGCTCATACACTGTGAACAGAGCTAATTCTCCCAGCTAATCAGCCTGAGGGGCAATCCTACCCTCTGACAAGCTCAAAGCAATTTAAAATCAACTTCAACAGTGACACCTCTGGAACATATGAGACAGGAGAGTACAGAGACTGTGCAATCCAAATATAAAAGACACATACCACGTAAGACAACCAAGCAATGACTGAGAGACATAGGTGATCTGCTTAATACATCAAAGCAATCACAGAGCGACAGCCAGAATGAGGAAACAAAGAAACATGTCCCAAGTAAAAGATCAGGAGAAACCTCTAGAAATGGAACTAAATGAAACAGAGGTATCCAACCTTTCAGAGACAGAGTTTAAAACACTGATGATAAGACTGTTAGGGAACTTAGTGAGGACATAAAGAATGATAGAGAAATCATTAAAAAAAACCCAATTAGAACTAAAGAATACAATAACTGAAATGAAGAACACACTTGAAGGAATCACCAGTAGATTAGATGAAGCAGACGATCGGATCAGTGATCCAAAAAAATGGTGCTCTCCTGTACACTACTTGTGCGCAAGCTCCACAAAGGGGGAACAATGGTTTCAAAACCTCCAGCTCCCACAAAAGGCTCTCAGTTCAGTTCTTCCCCGCACACTCCTGGCCCCCGCTCATGCAGCCACTCCCTCCGCCAGGGACCAGGTGAGTGCTCATCAGCGAGTGAGTCCGTGTGCCAGCTCCACAGGACGGCGACTGGTTTTGTAGCCTTCCTCTGCCTCACCAAGTTGAGCAAAGAGAGTCCTCACTAATTTCTACTGCCAGCTATCGTGGGACTCCTCTTCCCGGCAAAGTAACTCTGGACTGGGGAGCTCAGTGTGGGACTGGAGGGTCCCTCCCCAACAGAAGAAGCCTCTCCGCCACCGAAGTGTCCCTCGAGGGGTTCGCCCTTTCTCCGTGGGCCTGGAGTCAGCCTGCCTGACGTCTCTGCCCCTCCTACCAGTCTCGCCGTGGCCTCTTCCTTAAATCCTTTGTTTAGAGGTCTGTTCTTCTAGTGGTCAGATGACTTCAGAGGTTGAATGTTGTATAAATTATTTATAATTTTAGTGTGATTCTGGGAGGCAGTTGGCACAGTGCCCATTTATTCTGCCATCTTAGCTCCGCCCCAACATAAAACTTTTATGTTCTAAGAACTTGGCTGGATAACTGTCAGGTTGGAAGCTCCAAATGATGGCCACATGAAAATGTGTGCTAAACTCCATTTACAGATGGGGTCCTACCAAACTGCTGCCAGCCTTTCAGAAAATTATAACCTAAAATACAATGGCTGGTATGAGGAATGTGCCAATTTAGATAAAATAATTTTAAAAGTGCACCATAAAGTAAGGGTTCCCAAATCAAATAAACAGAATGGGATACCTATTTTTAAATATTAATAAGGGTGAAACAAAGAGAAAGAGGACTCATAGGACTCTTCCAGGAGGGTTGAAATGTTTAGATAGTTTTAAAAAATTGGGATAAATAAAACACACATTGATGGGGTTAAAACAGAGGTTTTAGTACAGCACTAACAAAGAATGAATAGATCACATTGACCCAACTGTTGGTCCCCCAACATTAATGGGCCTCAAACAAGTCTGTTGTATTTATCCCAATGTGGATAAATTTAAAAGACTGGAAGGAAGAGATTATAGGGAGAAACCAGCAATCGATTGGGGCAGCAGTCAGGCTGGTTAAATCAAGTTAAAGATTGATTACAGGGCCAGGTCCAGGTCCCTTGCTGAGGACCCAAGGCCTTTTTACTCAAGGATGGGTAAAATGGTCAAGAGATGGGAAGACACGAGAATTTATGCACTGTGGTACCAAAACTCATTGGTGAAGACCTGACTCAGGCTACAATTAGATTAAAATAATATGGAAATATAAGGATTGATAAGATTACGAAAATTGCAATGTTTAAACAGACTTTATGTTTTTTTAAAAATTATGACAACTTTAATTGATTGTATCTCTTTTACCTGATTATATTGCGGAAATCTCACTGGAGAATTGGGATTTGAGGCTGTCAGTCAGTTCTTTTTTTTGGCTATCAGAAGGTCCATGGGGTTGTTTAATACTGCCAGAAATATTTACTGTTTGTCTCAGCTGAAACCTGACAAGTTATTTGAAAGGATTTAATAATGTTTTGATCAAGAAATTTGGCCAAATTTGAAACTAATGTCAGAGCCTGATAGGAAATGTACCCAGAGGGAGAGAAACATTCCAACAATGGGTGGATAGATTTGTCAGTCCTTTGCCACCATTTAGGTGACAACCCAGTTCTTGAGGTATGAAGAACAACTGTCCTTGTTTTACAAATGAAGTCTATGCAAGACCAGAGGTGTGGTGCAGAAACAATTCAAAGTCCACCAATTCTTCTTACCTTCTCCAAACCTCCCTTGTGCATCTCAAAAGGCTTATAAATATTGACTTTATGAAACCAAAGTCCTTCTTGGAGGAGTTTATATTCCTCTTCCTGTACTTTTGAGATGTAAATACCTAGCCTTCTCCAAGAACTCTTATGTGGGTCATCTTTTAAAAAGCAAATTTCAGGGAGGTAATTGTATTAATAAAAAAAAGAAACTTAGCCATCTGGACCAATCAATTAACTTATTCCACCATTCTTTCCTAAACCGGTGAGTTTTGCATTATGGTGCCTGTCTTATGGCTAAAAGATCTCTGCTTGTATCTGTATGTTCATGTGTGTTGTTTGGTATTTTCTACTCCCAGATGGTATTGTTCATTTGTCTAAAAGGAGCTCTATTGAATTGGCTTAAACAAACAAGTGCTTAGATGAGAATTCTCAAAAATATAACAGAAACTAACCAAAAGGCTGTTCAGAATCACGTGATCTGAGAAAATATTTGATATTGAAGCTGGTTTGAGTTTGGTTTGGATAAAGAGGCATGTTTATAGGGTCATCAACATTAAATAATACTTTTATCCTACTGGGGTTCACTAACCAAATAAGTTCATGTTATCTCTGTTGCAAAATTTGTCAGCAAAAAAAATAACTTGGTATGATGACATTTTCATAATTAATTGTTAAGAGCAGGTCAATGAAATAAATGTAAGTAGGATAAAATTTTTTATTTATTTATTATTTATTTTCATGTGGGAGTCGAACCGGCAACCTTGCTGTTAAGAGCGCGCACTCTATCCACTGAGCCATCCAGGAGGCAACTCAGCTCAAAGTGTGGAGTTCAGTCCCAGCCACGGGTGGGCGTAGCTCACCATCGAACAAGCAATCTTGTCATTAGGAGCACATGCTCTCACCAGCTGAGCCATCCTGCCACCTTTTGGCAGCTCAGTGGCAGCTCAGTTCAGGTGCAGCTACGGCGAAGCTCACTGGCCCATATGGGAATCAAACGTTGCTCAGAGCTTGTGCTTTTAAGCAAACTCTTAACCAACTGAGCCACTCGGCCAGCCCTTAAAATGTTTCTTTATGTTAACTTTCTAGCAATAATTATATTGTATATGCACTTAAAAGTTTTCTAAATAAATCACATTGGTAACTTGGAACTTTAAAGTTTTGCTGGGTAAATTAAATGATTCAGTCACTGAATCACTGAATGTCTAGACCATTTCCAAATAAGATAAAATAATGAAATACTAATTACTGAACATAGGTTTATTGACTTTTTGCTTTTTATTATAGAAGAACTAAAGATATTTGGGTCCATTAGTAAACATGTCTTGTACCACATTAAAAATTTTTTTGTGCTATGTAAAAAAATAGTTCTAGAAATTATAATATGTGTTTGTAAATGTATGAATGTTGGTGTAACAGATAATTTACAATTGCTTGCTTCTTGTTTTTCACTAGGAAGTATGGTTTTTAAAGGTTAAGAGTTCTAATACATGTAATTAAAACTACAGAAATGAAAAATAATAGGGAAAACAACTGTATATATAAGAATTGAAATTTTATAATGTGGGACTAAATGGCAGCTCCTAACTTGTGATATGAGTATGAAATTCCCCATTGATTTAGCTTGTGGCTGAGGAGTAAACGTTCCTCTACCCTCAGGGTTCTTTTGGCTGATCTAATAATTAACTAGACTTGAGACAGATTAGCAAGAGTAATTGACCAAATTTAATACTTACGTATGTATGGAAACTCCATGTACATGAGAACCAGAGACCTTACGTGCATGAGGGGTTCAGAGATAGAAAAGGAACATGGGTATGTAAGACATCCTGAGTTAGGGATGAGGTAGGGTGCCTTGGAGGCTTCAAAGGGTCATTACAAGATGATAGGAGCAGGTGTTTATAAAAAGTTTCCCGTGCCATACAGATGGGTCAAGTTTTCCTATTATGGAAAAGGCCCCTAATTCAAGTTAGTTAGGTAAAGAGAGGAGCAGAAATGTCTCTTGAGCCCAAATCTAAAATTGCCCTAAGCTCAAAATAATCCACAGTCTTGGGGTGGCTCATTCTGAACTCCCTCGCACAGGCGGATGTGTCATGAAGCCAAGTCGTATAGTGCCCAAAGCTTTCCATCAAAGTCACAGTTCTTCCCCTTATTCAAGAGGAAAATAGTATTTTCTCAAGCTATCAGGGGTTGTATCTCACCACAAGTCAATGCTTTGAAGAGCCGAGGGCCCTAGTTAAGGCAGAGGCCTCAGTCTTAGACTTTGGAGAGAACTCTAAGTCAGGGTTGGGCTAAGGTGCTGGGCAGGTGGGAGAGTCACGTAGAAAAAGCAACAAAAACAGGACTCACTTGACTTCTCACCTAGTCCCTTGGGAAGAGGAAAAATTTCCATTCTGTCTACACAAGTGTCCCACAGGGAAATCTGGTGCCCAGAGGTGGCTGTTATAATGGAAGCAGTGCCTAATGAGCAGATAAAGGGAGCTGAAAGTATCTCCTCTGCTGCGTATGCAAGCCTGGGCTTTACAGGGCATGTGTGTTGCTTTTGGATTCCCAAGCCTGGTGGGGACCAATGCGTCACTCCTTCCTGCTGTCTTGTCCAGAGACAGAGCTTCAGTTTCCATCAGCAACCACCCAGGGAGGAATTCAAACTTCCACACAGAGTCCTCCCTCTCAGAGACCTCATCCAGGGGAGTCAGAGAGCCCAGCAGAGACTTCAGGAAAAGGTCAGAGAGGATGGAACATGAGAACATTCACCTGAGGTCACCTGAGAGCCTAACCAGCCTAGCCCAGAGCAGAGAGATTGCCATGTTTCTTTGCCAGGTACACTAATTAATGTAAAAATAATTTATTTAATATTTTTAAAAAAGAAGTGTTCATTGGCATCAACAATACAAGAATCATTGTTGAATGTCCCATGATGGGAGGAGATGTCAAGTTGGAAGAGACTGAGGAAGGAATGGGAGACATAAAGTGGCTCCAGTAAAATCAGAACATACACAGGAGTTTTGCAGTTCGAGGGGAGCAGGAAAACAGAGGATTAGGTGTGGCGGCGTCAGCAGTGAAGTGAGGGCATTTCTTTTTTTAAATTTTAAGCTGGGGTTTATATGAGCATGTTTTGTATTCATTAAAGAGATCCAGACAAAGGCGGTACATACTACCTTGCAACAGCTGTTCCGGATAGAAACATTTCACAGCATCATTTCTCATGTTGGATATTCACATAAAAACATTATTTAGCAAGTCTAAAAAGGGATACTAAAGCATTTCACTTTTTGCAATTATTTCTGGTGTGACTGCATATATTTTGGGTTTAAATGCTTCTTACTTCACTGTAAATTGTGCAAGTTCTTTACACAGTTTATATAGTGAGGGCTGTGTTCTTATTGTGGTTTTGGAGTCCATACTTTCAGACAGAGTTTTTTTACCAAAGTTTTTTACAATTTGACAGTGAATTATTTTATATACAGAGGGTGCCAAAAATGTATACATATTTTAAGAAAGGAAAAAAACTGTATTAAAATTGTAATACAATGAATGACAGTAGCATTCATTTGATTAACGCCATCTTTTGAACGAATGTCATACTACACATTGCTACCATAATTCAATTCTACTTTGAAAAGTAATACATAGATAATGTCTCTTTTTAAAATTTTAAAATTAAATTATTTTTTATTATGAAATACACATTTTTAGAATTAGTTTCAGCTGTACAGCACAGTGCAATAGTTATACTTTTTACCCCTTGAAGTGACAACCCCCCTCCCCCAATCCACCATGCCATTTCCCCCCAATATCATACATATCTATTACAAATCCCTTGACTCCACTCCCACACTATACTCCACATCCCATGACTATATATCTATATCTATATCTATCTATCTATCTATCTATCTATCTATCTATATATATATCTATATATATATTCACTTATAGTTGACATACAATATTATACAACATCAGCTGCTTCAGGTGTACAGTTCAGTGATCAAGCCTCTTCCCCATCCATGATGCAAGACATGTGACCACCTGACACCCGGACTTGACGTGGCCTCCTCTTTAAGTCCTTTGTTTAGAGGTTCTGTTCATCTAGGGTCCAGGGAACTTCCGAGGTTGAATATCTTATAAATTATTTGTAATTTTGTTGTGATCCTGGGAGGTAGTCGGCACAGTGTCTGTCTATTCTGCCATCTTACCGGAAGTCCTAGATAATGTCTCTTAAAATGTGTACATTATTTGACATCCCCGGTATGGATAGATATATTTGAGTGGATGTATGAAAATTTAGAAATTATGTATCATCAATTCTATCAGTCAGTCATATTATGTCCCTCCATTACTTTTTAAATGTAAAAAGTTCTCCTGCATCCTTAGTACTAATAACCGTTTTCATACGTAGTGTGTTCTCATTTCAGATCTGTTTATCCTTATTGCCAACTTTATGCTTTTTGAGGTTAGATGTGTTTTTTAAAATAGGAATCACCTTCTCTCATCTGTGAAAGGCATTCCTTTGCATTCATCTCATGATCAACTTCTGTTATTCCTAAGCATATTTGAATCTTTTTACATTGATATAGGTAGAAATTATAACTGTTGGTACTGCTTCTTCCACTGCTTTTAAAAAATTATTATTATTATTTTAATTAAAGTTTATTGGGTGACAATTCTTAGTAAAATTACATAGGTTTCAGGTGTACAATTCTGTAATACATCATCTATATATCACATTGCGTGCTCACCACCCAGAGTCAGTTCTCCTTCCATCACCATATATTGGATCCCTTTTACCCTCGTCTACCACCCCCTTCCCCCCACCCTTTGGTAACCACTTAACTATTGTCTGCGTCTATGAGTTTTTGTTTCTTCACCTGTTTGTCTTGTTCCTTTGTTGTTTTCTGTTTTATATCCCACATATCAGTGAAATCATATGGTTCTCGACTTCTCTTTCTGATTTATTTCACTTAGCATAATAATCTCAAGATCCATCCATGTTGTCACAAATGGCATATGTCATCTTTTCTTATGGCAGGATAGCATTCCATGATGAATATATACCACATCTTCTTTATCCAAACATCTGTTGAAGGACACTTTGGTTGTTTCCATATCTTGGCCATCATAAATAAAGTTGCAATGAACATTGGAGCACATATATCTTTACAGATAAATGTTTTCAGAATTTTTGGGTAGACACTCAAGAGAGGGATTATTGGGTCATATGGTAATTGTATTTTTAATTTTTTGAGAAATCTCAACACTGTCTTCTATAGCGACTGCACCAATCTGCATTCCCACCAACAGTGTATGAGGGTTCCTTTTTCTCTACAGCCTCTCCAACACTTGTTATTATTTGCCTTGTTGATGATAGTCATTCTAACTGGTGTGAGGTGGTATCTCATTGTGGTTTTTATTTGCATTTCTCTGATGATTAGTGATGTTGAGCATTTTTTCATGTCTATTGGCCATTTGTATGTCCTCTTTGGAGGAAAAACTATTTAGGTCCTCTGCCCATTTTTCAATTGGATTTTTTTTTGTTGTTGTTGTTGAGTTGTATGAGTTCCTTATATTATTTGGATATTAGCCCTTTATTGGAGGCATTGTTTAAAAAAATCTTCTCCCATTTAGTTGGTTGCCTCTTTTTGTCAATGGTTTCTTTTGCTGTGCAGAAGCTTTTTAGTTTGATAGTCCCATTCATTTATTTTAACTTTTACTTCCCTTGCCTTTGAAGTCAAATTCATAAAATCCTCTTTGAACCCAAGGTCCATAAGTTTAGTTCCTATGCTTTCTTTTATGCAGTTTATTGTTTCAGGTCTTATGTTTAGGTCTTTGATCCATTTTGAGTTAATTTTGGTATACAGTGACAGATAGTCTAGTTTTATTCTTTTACACGTAACTTTCCAATCCTTCCAGCACCATTTATAAAAGAGGCTGTCTTTTCTCCATTGTATGTTTTTGGCATCTTTTTCAAAAATTATCTGTCCATATTTATGTGGCTGTATTTCTGGGTTCTCAATTCTATTCCATTGTTCTGTGTGTCTGTTTTTCTGCCAATACCATGTTGTTTTGATTATTGTTGCCCTGTAGTACAAGCTGAAGTCAGGGAGTGTGACACCTCCAGCATTGTTCTTTTTTCTTAGGATTGCTTTGGCTATTTGGGGTCTTTTGTGGTTCCATACAAATCTGATGATTTTTTAATTCTATTTCTTTAAAAAAGCCATTGGGATTTTGATGGGGGTTGCATTAAATCTGTATATTGTTTTGGGTAACATGGACATCTTAACTGTGTTGATTCTTCCAATTCATAAACACCAAATGTCTTTCCATTTCTTTGTGTCTTCTTCAATTTCTTTTAAAAATGTCTTATAGTTTTCTAAAAATTATTTTTACATTTTTCACTTTCTGGTCTTTGACAATTTAATCCTTAATTAGAGACCCATGTGGATGTGATTAAATTATTTTTACATCTTTTCTTTCAGAAGTTGGTCTTGGATTTTTATTCAATTTCATTAAATATAATTATGTGAATCCACAATATTTAATTTGGTTTTATTTTCCCTGCCATTCTTTTCATTTTATGACTTTTCCATTGCTTAACATTTTCCTATATAAATGCACACATTTATGAAACCACATGAGTGAACAAAATAAATTAGGTCGCTGCTCATTTGATTTTACATTATACTGGAGAAGACCCAGTACAATGAAATAGTTGTCATGTCCTCAGGGATAAAAGTATGAAGAAAGGGGATTGATTGATAGTTGTTGCATAAACAGGAGCTCACAAGAATATGTCTGGGGAGGACTTTGCATGATGAATAAGGAACAGAACCACAACGAGTATATCCATCAGCTGTGACACAAAGAGTTCAAAACTTAAAGCCCAAGAATAGCAAAGAAAAGAATTCCACAAAGAAAAGTGAGAGAAGGGCCAGCCTCATCCACTACGGGGCTGTATAAAAACAAGGGTGATCAAATAAACACGGAATAGGGGCAGGAATAACAATTAGATCAGGGGCTGAGGTGGATGCCTTGATGAGGCCAGTGGAGAAGGAAAGGTCCTGTCAGTGTGTGGTCCCTTGAGTCTGAGGTAACTTGATCACCCATGCTGGCTGCCTCTTCCCTCCATCTGGCTCTCCTCATCTTATTGCTTTTCCCTCATTGTCAGGAAGTGACCATGTTAAACTAATCTTGCATTTATTCCACTGGATTCCTGGCTTTTTTTGACTGTGTCCCAAAGTAAGATATTCCTTTTACATTGTACCCAGCACATCTCCACACAAAATAGCAACACACACACACACACACACACACACGACTGAACAAAGAGGCCATGAAACGATTATTTACTTGTCTGTACCTTCATTATGCATGTACAAATATTTTCTTTTGTGCCTCATTTATTTTATTCTATTTAATTCTTACAGGCCATAGTCTGACACCTTAATGTGTCCAGACCTCAGATAATGGAAAACATTCCTCTAGCATGTCCTCCATACCTAGGTTAGTATTTCCACCTTCTCTTTTCTTTTTCATTATTGGCAATTTCTGTGAGAATATGTTCTCTCCATCATAGAAGACATATTTATTCAGCTACTGTTCCCATCTAAACCAAATCTGGTGGGGGAAGGCACTCACTATCTAGCAAAGAAAAAAGACATTGAATTAAATAAAAATAACATAATGGGCACCCTAACACCTAAATTAAGTGCTTGAGAATGTGCATTATCTCAGGAAAACTGAGATAATGTTAAGGGGAAAAAGGCTCATGAAGGAGAGGATTCAGCCATTTTGAAAAGAAGATGGAGTTTGGAGGATGGAGAAGGGGGTGGAAAATTTCAGAAATACCAGCGGGGAGACTGCAAGCAGAGGAAAGCGCGAGTGCACAGGCTCTGAGCCTTGAAGCTGTAGTGTCAGGTGAAGCTGGAGTCAAGTTCAATGTTTGGGAGATCAGTGTGAGTCAGGGCAGGGCCCTGTGAGGGTGAAGTTGGCAGAAAGGTCACAGAGACTTGAGCCTCCTGCTTGAAGCTACAGAATTTTGGCTTCTATCTCCATTGGAAAGTCATGAGGAAGGATTACAATCAGGGAGTTTGATGATCAGCTTTGTAATGTACTAAGATCTCCATGAGTCAATGCGAATATTCGGCTAAAGGGGTTCCAGCCTGTGCTAGATGGGAGATGACAAGGAACTGAAATGAGGCTGTGGAATTGGCCCCAAGAGATGGGGAAGCATTGGAGGCATTTGAGAGGTAGAAGAAAATAATCAACCTTATCTCATCACCAGAGAAAGCCATTCATTTTCCAACAGGAAGGACCTGGGCTAAGCATTTCACATACATTGCTCAAATCTGTCACCACTCTGATGGACATCACTGTCTGCACTACTTGGGTGAGGATATCAGCATTTAGAATGGTCTGGGTGTCACTCCTGGTTCAAAATGCTAAGAGGGGGCATATCACAGAATCAAAACCCATTGTTTTTTTGTTGTTGTTTTTTGAGATATCAGCTGTCTTTTATTAAACCAGACATTAAAGAGATGTGCAGAAATGTCAAATAATGATACTCTTTTTCATATAAGTTATTGTTTGAAAAAATATGGTTATTTTTTATTAAAATATGTTAAATACCTCATGGGTTTATTATTGTTATTTTAAAATGAATCAGTAATTTTTTAATTTTTTTATTGTGAAATACACATTTTTAAAAATTAGCTTCAGCTCTACAACACAGTGCAATAGCTATACTTTTTTGAATCAGAAATTTTTTATATTTTTTGGCTTTATTTTCTTTTCTAAATATTTTTATGAAAATATAGCTGTCATATAGTATTATTTTATATTAGTTTTAGGTGTACATCATAGCTATTCAACATTTATATACCTAAAGAAGTGATCACCATAAGTCCAGCAATGATCTGACACTGTACCATGGTATCACAATATTAGTGACTATATTCCCCATGCTGTACATCACATCCCCATGACTTACTTGTTTTATACGTGGAAATTTGAGCCTCTTATTCCCCTTCACCTATTCCTCCCCACTTTCTCATTTTTCAATTACAGTTCAAATTCAATATTATTTTATATTAGTTTCAGATGTACAGTATAGTGGTTACACATTTATATAATTTAAGAAGTGATCTCCCTGACTAGTCTAGTACCCACCTGGCACTATACATACTTATTACCATATTATTGACTATATCCCCTATGTTACATCCCATGACTCTTTTGTAACTACCAATTTGTACTTCTTAATCCCTTCTCCTTTTTTTCCAACCCCTAATCCCCCTCCCATCTGGTAACCGTCAGCTTGCAAAACACGGTTTTCTGACTCCAAAAGTTTTGCACTTAATGTCATTTACAAATGTCTCTCCTTGTTTCAGCTTTAAAAATACACTGCTTTTCACACACACTGTATATTTCCTTTTGTAAATTGTACGTTTATTCTCTTTACACATTTTCTAGTGGGCTGTTTTATTTGTAAGGTGTTTTGACAACATAAAGATATAGTTAATTTCTCTTTTAAGAAACTGTTATTTGCCATTTCATTGGTTATTCTGGGCATTGAGACACTGTACCTGCAGCTGGCATGTTGCCAGAACCAAAAAAGTCTTCTTCACCACTCTGGGATCACCGTGGATTATTAGATTCTCTCTTGCTCTCGCTCTCTCAAATCTCTTTTGACTGATTTTAAAAATATAGGACAGAAAATAAGCAGAACAAAATGGAGCCCCATTTTTACATGTTCATTGGAGGCTTACCAACTGGAATTTGGGTGTTCTTTCTATATTCTCTAAGGGAAAGGTAATCTGATGTTGAAAACATGCCTTGTATCTGTTCTTTCCTAATTATTTTGCTTGGAGATTAGTAGAGCCTGGCAGTAACATGACCCCAGGAAGTTATAGTGTGAGTGTGTGTGATGTGTAGAGTGTGTGTGTGTGTGTGTGTGTGTGTGTGTGTGTGTGTGTGTATGGTTTATGGAACATGAGCATTTCTCAGGGCAGGGATACTAGCTCATATACTCCAAAATGTGTCCCTTAAAAATACAGATGCCAGAATGTTAACCAATACATGGAAGTAAAGAAGAGATCACTTCTACTCACTGGAGCCCTTGGTAACAAGATAAATAAAGTGGAAGGAACAACATGTGACCGATAGATTCCCTGTGTCTTGAAGTTTTATCTTTAGGAGACAGGCCTTCTCATTCCTCAGCACTCTGTGACACCATCTCTATCACTCTCCTTCCTCATTCCCCTCACCACATGGCTTCCTTGTGAGACTTGATTATTTGAACCAAGTGCCAACCTCAGGCCTTTGCACTGGCTCTTTCTTATGCAGGCGACACACTTCCCAGATGTCTTCATGTCTTCCCTTTGTCTTCCTTCAGGTATCTGTTAAACGGCACATTGTTTGCAGGTCTTTCTTGATTTCCAGTAAGAATAATACACTCATTCACTTTCTTTTATACCTACTTTCTTTTTCTTCAAAGCACATACACAGACTGACATGGTGTATGATTTTTTATTTGCTTATAGTCTTCTTCCCTTATTGAATTATAGGAAGTATTGTTTCTCAGCACCCTACAATCCTTGACTGGAAAATGGTCAGAACTCAGCATATATTCCTCAAATGAGTGAATAAATTTCTCATCCATCCTGCAAAATACATGATTTATTGGGCAAAATGCTGACAGGTATTCCTAATCAGAGATATAATGGGAATTCCTTAAAGAAGATTAAATCTCTACAAAAATATATATACATTTGACTGCAAAGTATAAATTGTAGCTTTCAACATGCCAGTAGTGTCCATGTGTGAAGATTAATCTTGTTATGTTTTCATTCCTAGTCATCACTTCCACCTCATAGAACCAGGCAATGGTACACGGATTTCAGAATTCCTTCTCCTGGGACTTTCAGAGGAACCAGAACTGCAGCCCCTCATCTTTGGGCTTTTCCTCTCCATGTACCTGATCACTGTGTTGGGAAACCTGCTCATCACCCTGGCTGTCAGCTCAGACCCCCAACTCCACATGCTCATGTACTTCTTTTTCTCCAACCTGTTCTTTGTGGACATCTGTTTTACCTTGACCACCATCCCTAAGATGCTGGTGAACATCCAGACACAGAGCAAAGTCATAACCTATGAAGGCTTCTTCTTGCAGGTGTATTTTTTCACACTTTTTGGAGTGTTGGATGACTTCCCCCTGACTGTGATGGCCTATGACCACCTTGTAGTCATCTGTCACCCCCTGCACTACACAGTCACCATGCGCCCTCAGCTCTGTGGACTGCTGGTTATGGTGTCCTGGATCACCAGTGTCCTGAATTCCTTGTTACATAGCTTAATGGTGCTGAGCCTGTCCTACTGTACAGATGTGGAAATCCCCCACTTTTTCTGTGAACTCAGTCAGGTCATCCAACTTGCCTGTTCTGACATCTTTCTTAATGATATGGTGATATATTTTGCAAGTGTCCTAATGGCTGGTGGTCCCCTCATTGGGATTCTTTACTCTTACTCTAAGATAGTTTCTGCCATACGTGCAATGTCATCAGCTCAGGGGAAGTATAAAGCGTTTTCTACCTGTGCGTCTCACCTCTTGGTTGTTTCTTTATTTTATTGTACAGGCTTAGGAGTGTACCTTACCTCTGCTGTAACCCACAGATCACAGTCAAGTGCAACCGCCTCGCTGATGTATTCCATGGTCACACCCATGCTCAACCCCTTCATCTACAGTCTCAGGAACAAAGTCATAAAGGGGGCTCTGAATAGATTGGTTGGAGTGGCAGCTACAAAAGGGACAATTGCTCTGGGGCTGAAGAACTTCCTGTGATTGGCGGGCTAAAGTCTTTGGATCTAGAAAATGTGGAAGTAGAATATGCCTCTTCTATTTATTTACTGGAATTTCCATTTATTTGAATTCAATTTCTTCATACGATATAAGTAATTCGTTTATCATGTTTTCTGTTCTGATATATAGACAGTTTTCTTCTTTGTCCATTTTCCTAGTTTCACAAAGATTTTCAAACTTTGCATCAGAAATATTGGAAATTCCCATTTATATCTGGGGTCATAGGAATTTCTTAAGAATAATTTCATCTCAAATAACAGATATCACCTCCAGATTTATTTTGTGTTACTGAAAAAAATATTCACGAGTTGTATAACTCCCAAGAAATAAAGTTCCCTTGGTAAGTAAGCCTATTTATGTGATATTTTGTACAGGTAATTCTGCAACCATGGTTTTCATTTTGGGTCTGTCATTCTAGTCTATGTCACTCCCTTAACTGCTCTGACTGATTATGTGGATGTTAACATGCTGCTGATTGTTAACGGAATTCCTGCTTTTATGCTCTTGTTCAGTTCAGTGTCCACAATACCTACTATAATCTCTGGCAAAAAATTGATTTTGAAATCAATTTGTCTCCAAGTAAAGTCCACAGGAAAAGTCAAGCTTAAGAAATAGATTAATCTAATATGCTCTTTAGAGAGAATTGACCTTAAATATGAAAAAGCATTACTCAGTTGATTACTATGCAAAATATGTCTTTTTCATGCTGTGATCTACTGCTGATGTATGGAAGATGAATTCCACATGCGAGGGCCTATTTTCATTGAGGTGAAGGAAGGTTGGTGTATTTTAAGTTTTTTTTCCTAAATTATCTTCCTGTGTGCCTTTGCAAACTTCAGTGCTGCCTACAAATGTGACTCCTCATTTACTTAAACTAATGATCTCTGTTCTTTTAAACCACGTGTAACTACAATAGGGATGTTAACCTAACAATGTCAATATCTTCCATCGTATGTCTCCTTCATGCTCGGGAATTGCTTCCATCTTCATGATCAGAAAGTGACTCACAAGAGAGCTTGACTTCCTGCCCAGTCATGTGATTTGGGTTCACCAGCTTTTCTGCTAAGTAGGCACATCCTTCCAACTTGTCCTTATTACCTGGAAGGGACCCTGAGTAGTCACTTGTTAATCCAGTTATCCAAAATAAACTTGAATAAAGCATGGTCACAAATGCTGTCTCCAACTCTCAGAACATATTCCAAAAGTTGAAAAACAGCAGATTACGCCACTTCCGGTGGTGTTGGTGTCGTCACGCGGCAGGGTGAGGGCAGCAGGCGGGTTGGTAACGGAGAGGTGGATTCCTCACAGCTCATCTTTCCAAAGAGTTTGAAACACCTGGGACACTTCTAAGTTCAGAAGTTTATATGCTTGTGGAACATCGAAAG